ATCGATAGTATTTTCCTCTTCCAAGGCGAACTTTCACAGCATACTAAAAGCCGAAAATGAAACCATGGTCGGCACGCTCAGTGAAAGAAGGAATAAMGTTTTTCGCCCAGGGAGATCTCTGATGTCAGGTGGCGATTACATAATGAAGCTGRAAAAATCCATTGCTGTCCATACATCATTACGACTATGATTATTCATGCGCTTCTTGGTCAGAATTTCGCTTTCATATTATTTTTTTTGACCATGATTGTAACGTTATGGTTATAGAAAAGAAGGATGATAGGCTAGGTGGAAAGTCGCAGTCGTCATTTAGGATATACTTCTCATAAGTACGAGTACGTACTCTAACAACGGCATGATATTGATATTCTTCCATTTAGATTACGTATTTCCGTACTTAATGTATCACAGAAAATACAAAATACAGAAAATGAAAAATGATACTTTCCAAAATGAAAACAAATGGAAGCGAAAGATTTGAGCGCTCAAGCAAAAAGACCCGAGCGTACCAGTTCCGTAGGTATGGTGACTCGTACCAGAATTATTCCGCCGTCCCCCTACCGCTACGTACGAACCGTAGTAAGTGTCGAAACTTACTTATTTGGATAATGACGTATTATCATACCCTACGTACSKCAGTCTCTGCCATACGTAGAGTACAAAGTAGAATTGCGTACCAGGCAACTTGCAATTTTCGACTAAGGGGCATTTTACGGTACTGTTTTTTAAATTTTTTGTTGAACGAAAACGGCACCCCCCTTCTCATCCCCCTGCCTCCTCATTGGTTCATATCGTATCGTATCGTAGCGTACGTACGGTATGGTCAATGGTGGTACGGCAGGGGCCGGCCGGTTGGTACCAGTCTGTTACTGTATTGAACCGAGTATCGTACATTACGTCGGTACGCAGGGATCACCCCTGATGRTACGTACGTTTGTACGTACGTACGTACTGATTACCGATTCATACCTTTTCAGTTGCTACTACCGTACGTGTGTACCCCTAGCCTCTACCCATCAAAAAAGCGAGATCATTTTGAGAATCTCTGTTCCCCTGTCCCTTCTCGGAAGACGCCTCTTTTCATTGTTTTCTTCTACGGAGAAGGACAACACGAAGAGCAYATGGTCGCAAATGGAAGAAGGTTCACTATTGAAARCTGCTTTGGAGCATGCGAAGACATTGCACAATAGCTCCGCTTGCGAATCTTTGCTGAAGAATTGCATTCACTTAGATTTGTACACGCTGGGAGATCGCAGCAGACAAGTCGAGGATCATTTGCTTGACCTCGCAGAACTCGCAGAAAATTGCAACCGCTTCTTTCAAAAGAAGAATCATCTCTGGCACTACGGAGCAGACGGGCCAGTATTCGGAGTTCACATTGATCACTCAGAAGCCGTTCCCCATCTTCGCGCTTATTGTCGATACGGTCCAAGTGTCCAAGATGGCTGGATAGCCATTCATTACGTGGTAGAATTCATGCAATCACTGAGAGAAAACAGCAAGAAACAAAAAATAGTTGCRTCAGCATGGGATGTGCAAGACGGGCAAGTGATCTTAATACAATTGGCTGATCTRTTGCCACCGTGGCTCGACGCAGACCCAACAGACAATCACCGCTATGCTTGTTGGATAGATCAAAACGGCGATTTGCAGCTTCTTCGCCAACCTCACATAAGTCTGAACGATGCCTTAAAGGAGCTCAGAGGGCGACTGCTATCGACAGTGAAGTTCTCCTCAAATCCAAAAATGCAGCAGGCACTAACATATTGGCTAGACTTGAACGCTCAGGCTGCGTCGGTTCACCAAAGGGCGCCCATGGTACTACCTAGAAAGGTAGCCCTTGCCTTTCGAGAGCGTCCAGAGCTCCTTCGTACCGCCATCCAGGCTTTCTGCGAGAGTATCCAACAAAATGGACCAGTGGCACCAACTATCAGTCGCCCCGATTTAGCAAAATATGAAGATTGGGTTTGGACTGTCCAAACATTGCCTCGAACGAATTATGCGATGGCCAGAAGTGTCTCATCCGTACAAGATGAATGGACGTCGTCTCCAGATTCTATACCGACCTTAGTTGGAGCTGAGGTTAAACGCTATAGACGCCAATGCAAAGTGGAAGCAATGGGACATTTGAAGCATGCAGTAGCGCTGGGGGTAAGGGCTGTCATCGGATTGGAAGAATTAATGGACGCCAACGACAAGCAGTATGGAACTTTCTTTTCCTCCTCGCCATTATCCTCATTAGAGGAGCGCATAATGTATTGGAGTCGTATTCAGCAAACATCCTGTGGGCTTGACAAAAACGAAAATTCTAAGACAATTCTCGAAAGCTTTCAAATGGGACCTAACACAGCTAATCTTGATTTGACAAATATTCTAAGGTGTCCCGTCTATCCCGAGGAAGCCGAAAATTGGACATCGTATTCGAAAGCACAAGTATCGCTACAGAATCAAGTGAAAAACATCATGCGGTCTCAAAATCACAACAAGAATGTAAACGATGTCGAGGCCTTTTGGGTGCCGCGACCCGATCAAGTGGACCCGGAGGATTGGATGGACTACGAACATGCAAAAATTGAGATGGTCGACGAACTAAAATCCGAGCACGATGTTGATAATTTGCTTTCGCGCTTTCAATCATTCCTGCAGCAAAAGTCCAACGTGGACGGGATCAATTCGAACAAAACGAACGGAAATGGTGGCCGAGACACCAACAAATCCTCTTCGAAAGATATTTGTCCACGGGTCTTTCTTACTATCTTGCACTCCGTGCTGAAAGGAAAGAAACTCGACTTTCGGCGAGCCGATCCTTTCTTTTACGAGGAAGATTACGATCTGATTGAGCAAGATGGGGACAGTGAGAGCAGCAACAACAACGACCGCGCCCATGAAGCCTTTGAAACTGCTGATGGTTCGTTTTCAATGAATGATATAATGGTACGTATTTTAAGGGCTATCGACTCGGTTTGTTAGAGTGAAAGTGTACTCAAGTCCAAACTTTCGTTGGGCATTTCTCTGCAGCATTGATTCTCATATTCTGCTTCAATCCTCCTCAATCCTTAGAGTGCCATGGATAACGAACTCGAAGGAAGAACCGAGTCTAGAAGAATTCCTTCAAGCGTCCTCAATGTTTCAGATATTTACCCCAAAAATAGCAAGGGAAAGGACACTGTCAAAGGGTTGGTTCAAGACGCACACATTCTTAGCAACCTAATGGAGTCACTGGATGCCAGCGGAGGAGGAAGTGGCCCCGTTAGGAACATCATAAAAGAAATGGAAGGTGAAGCCTAGGCGAATGAGAGGGAAACATCCRAGGTGGAAAAGGATAGACGACTTTAAAAAATATGCCGTGTATCTATAACCGGACGAAAGTAGCTAGAAGTACATTGCTCTTCGCTCTCAAGAAGCCCAGTCACCTCTCCTCGTGTGCCAGCTGAGTCATGCTTGGTCGAGTTAATTCTGGAACGAAACCCTTCTTGATCCTTATTAATTGTACGAAGAATTGCCTTTATGCTAGGGGTAGTTACGAAAAACATCAAAATAGAAACAGCAGATTACAGTATGATGATCAAATCTCGAACAGTATCTTCTCATAGAACTCTATGCTCAGAAGAAGGTGAGATTATTGCTTAAATTTGAAAATTAAAAATTGTTCTGTACAAGATGACTGCGAATGTTAGTATGCTCCCATATTACGTGTTAATACGTGGTTTACAATAAAGGAGTGAGGTTATTCACTAGCTACTCGGGATTTAGCCTCACACCACCCCGCACTTGCACCATCTAAAGACTCGGTTAATTAGAGGATCGTTGAATCACATGAGTCTAAGTACTCATGATCCAAGGAGTCAAAAAAGTCAAAAATGTTATTATCGAGTGAGTCGACAATCATGAGATCCTTGAGAGGATTTAGATTGCAAGTGGAGCAAAATACTGTAGGATTCGTGGGGTTGGGGATGGCGTTGGAGGAGGCTTTATCCTCAACAATCGTGTTGGTTTGAGTAGGATTAGAGTGTTGGTATGTATAGTCTGGTCTGATTCTTCCCATGAATATATCTGTGTGTTGGAGGAATTTAGTTCTACCAGTTGGTTTGCTCAGTGAGTCACTGTAGTTCTCATCAGACCGTGTTTCAATAAAGTTAATGTGTTCATCATCAGTCCATTGTAGGATAACAAAATGTTTCATTTCAACATGTCGTGTGCGTCTGGTTGGTTGGTGGGCATTTGCCATTCTAACTGCTCCATGATTATCAGCAAGGATAGGTGTTGGTGTTGTTTGAGGGATGAGGAGTTCATTAAGGATCCATCTAAGGTATAGTGCTGCTTTGCCTGCATCTGCCATGTTGGTGAATTCAGCTTCAGTAGAGCTTTGAGCTATAGTTGGTTGTAGTCGTGTACGGTAATACACAGCGGCTCCAGCTAGCATCATTATAACTCCTCCCATAGAGCGTCGCTGGAGACGGTCAGAGGCCCATGTAGTATCACATGAACCATGGATTTGAAGAGGGTCCAGTGATTGATAGAATTTGTTGAGCATGACTGGGTCAGAGTATGGTTCTGGGAAAGGTTGTAGGGGGAGATCCATTCTGTGTGTGGGTCTCCAATATGTGAGTCCATCGTTTACCACCATTGCATGTGCCCCTAGATTTTGGTTCATATGCTCCGGTTAGCGGATTTTCTTTTTCTATATATGTCCAGACCCAGGGGAGGATTGTTTTGTCCGGTGTAGCCGGTACAGGATCCCCAAACATACCAACCTTGTGGTATCGATTTAGCTGTTTCCATTCAGAGGTTAAGAATCCTTCCCATTGTGGTGTTCCTTGGAGCTTGTTCCTAGTGAGTTTGGAAATAAGGGCTTGTTCACGGTGAGATTCCGGTGAATCTATTTGTATGGGCCATTTGTTTTTATTGGGCCATAGGTCTTGTTGATAGTTTATGTGGTGAAGATGGTGGGCTATCACATTTAACTGGTCGGCCTGTAGTGTTGGTATGCCCTCTCCATTGAGTGCAAAGCCTGTAAGTGATCCAAATGAAAAACGGATGTTGCGGCGATGGTTCTGTTTAGCCTGTGTAATAGCCTCTATGATATCCTGCTTGGTGGCTATTTTCCTGTCATCAACCTGTGTAATGATAGTGCCTCTAAGTCTTCGTTTCCATCCTCTAATTCGTGTGTGAGCAACAGTTCCTACCTGTATTGATTGTAATTCAACAGCATCTTTCACGTCAGGGTGCGGACCTATGATAAATCCCATGGTTGGGTGGATACTGTGGACATTAGTGAGTGGAAGAGTGTGTGATATCTCTTTGATGAATATGTTTGTGGAGATATCTAGTGTTTCCAGTTCAGGGATGAGTGTTGCAATATCCGGGCGTTCAAATTTGGTCCTGTTGATTTGAGCTACCACGGTAGCCGCTGCGGCTGCTGTGGTTGTGTATGGGGGATGAGTATCGTGGATGATGTCCTGAATGAGGTTATCCGGATTGTGTTGTCGTTAATCTTTTAGTTTCAGCTCAACTGGTTCCGGGGAGGTGTTGGTTGTATGGTCTTGGTGGTGGCCCTCCGTGAATGTTTCCAGGAGGTGGGAGGCAGCTGGTGATCGATTGGATGGATGGTCACCATAGTGCAGTTCATCTTTAGAATTGTGTCTTGCGAGTTTATCTGTACCAGTGTGGATGTCAAAGTACTTGATATTGTCTGTGGTGGCGCCATAGCCAAGGAAGATTCCATCATAGGTCCAGGGATGAGTGGTAGTTGGTCTTGTTCCTGGTTTCTTCGCGGTGATTTTGGATCCGAATGTGATGAGGTTATCCACCAATGGGATCTGACCTGTGTACATCTGAAGGGGAGTCATATCAATTGCACTGTGGTAGGTTCTGTTGTATAGCCATGTTGCGTGAAGGAGTGCATCTGTCCAGTATTCTGTGCCTAGACCTGATGCATAGAGGAGGCATCGTATCCTTTCCTTAAGTGTTCGATGTGGGCGTTCAGCTAGTCCGTTCTGTGATGATGTGTCTGCCGCAGTAGTGATAGATTGATATCCATGCTTGGTTATAGTTTGTTGAAATTGTGTGGAATTTGCTAATTCCCCCCCTCCGTCAGTCATGATTGTACAGTCCAGTTGGTCTGGGAGAAGGTCAAGATAGTAGGTGTGGTCTTCGGGCTTGACAGTGTAGGTGTGTTGCAGTGCAGCAGTTTCAAAAGCTCGTGAGCGTGCAAGATACCCATCGTCTGTAGTGGTGAGTGTTGCTTTGCCGGGGGCGCTGTTTCTTATTCCGTGTTTTTGGAGGAACAGGTCGATGATCTTGATAGGGGGTTCTTTCGACTTGACTGGGAAGGTCCACAGTGCTCTTGTGGCAGCATCAATGATGGTGAGGAAACCAATGTGGCCTTGTCTGCTCGTTTTGAGTGTAGGTTGGGCCTTGGCATTCTTCTTTATGATGTCTTGGATGTTGGGAGGGCCACTTACGAAGCAAAGATCCATGTGGATGGCTTGCATGGGGATGAATTTTTCGCGTTTTGGTTTCTTCTTCCCCCCATACTTTGTGAGTTTGCCCTTTTCACAGAAAGGACATCTAAAGAATGGTGTAGAGGTGGGAAGCGGGGGAATGCCGTCAACGACCTTCTGTGTTTTAACAAGAGTGGAAGGTGAGACATGTCCGTAACGTTGGTGCCAGAGMTCAAGATTCTTGAGCGCTTTAGACAAACCTGTGGACCACGTGCGGGCCCGTGGTGCTACTTCCGTTTTGTTCAGTTGTATACCTGTGTGACTATCATCGTCGTCGTCATTGTTGCAAAGCAGGATCTTATTCGTGGTGTACCAAAGCCCATTGTTGCTGCGGACTGTTTGCACTGATTCGTTAGTTTCATTACAGTGATTTATGAATCTAATAGTTCCCCTGTTGTTTGTACGGCCTTCCTGTACGAATGCGTAGAAATCGTGTGTCCGGTGGTAGTGATCCGGTGAAAGAACTGTTCCTGTGGACGTTGGAGTATACAAGGTTCACCAACGCATGATACTTCCTTGGTCAGAGACGATCTTTATATACCCTTCACCATATGCTAATAACGTGTTGTTAAGTGCATCGTCTTCTGTTGAGAACACCCCAACTGGTGCCGGGTTGTCGTAAGGCTCGTAGGAATGTAGTGCGTCTTTCATGTTGGTTGCTGACATGTTTGCTCCCGTATCAGATAGGAGTAGGCGTGTTACTGTGTCTGTTGGAGTGGGTGACGGGATTGAGTTACTTAGTGGGTGTAGTACTTTGAGTACGTAGGGCGTACTGCATTCAGTGTGTATGTGTAATGTATTGCCCATGCGTTTCCTGTATAGTGGCCGTGTCGCGCGGATGGCTGGCGTCGCTGTCTCGTGCGTATCGTACGTAGAAGATATGAGTGAATCCCTGTGTATTTGAAAGGGGGTTAAGCTATTGCCACGTGTGGGATGGTAGTTGGGGTCTTGCTGGTGTATGTTTTTGGTGTCCATGGACGGGAGTGGACTTGCGTTGCTTATGTCATTTTGTTTGATTGTATTCATGTCGGAATGATTTTGATTGTTACAAAGCTGACATGTGTTGGGTGTTAGTACGGAGTGGAGTGTGTATTTGTATGTGTGCTGGAGTTTAGTATGCGGTTTCACGTAGTAGGTCTGTGATGCATCTTGGTGCTGGGGGCTTGAGTCAGTAGGCGTTGGTACTATTGTTGTGCTGGTTGTTGTTAGTGTGTCCGTTGGATTGGTTTCTTCAGCGTAGAGCTCCGTAGGTGTTGGTACTAATTTTGTCTTGGTTGCGGTTTTGATTTGTACCCTTGAGTTGATATCGTCTTCATTAGAGCAGTCCCCTATAGTGTTACAGTTCACCATGATCGTATTAGTTGCTGTAGAGGCCAGGGATGAAGTGTCTTGGCGGTGTTTATCCTCCTGTGGGGAGTTGTTTAGGGTAGGTAGTGTTTGCGTGTGTGTGAAGACGTCGTTATTGTGTGGTCGGGGCCTGGGGAAAGGGTATCCAATGGGGTTGAGTGGAAGACCGGATGCTGTCGTATCATGTTGTTCTCGTGTTAGCGTTCCGGTGGGGTCAGGGGAAGGCCGAGCCCCGCTAGGGACACGGCGTGCATCTTATTTCGTGTCATCGTCTGGGATGACGACGAGAAGTTGTGTTAGCTCCTCCCGTTCCAACTCGTGTTCAGCTTCCGTGATAATTCTCCCGTTAAGTTTGCTTTCAAAGTGATTTACAATCGGTTTAGAATTCATGTTGTTGTGTTTGATTGCATTGAGTTTGAAGGGTTCGGGATGTTCAGCAGCATATTTTTGTGTATAGTGTAGTTGTGCCCCATACCGACAGATTTGATCTCCAATGTTATGTCCAAATTGATGGCAACAATCGCATTGAACTTTGTTCTTGTATTCAAAGCATTTTCTGGGGGTGTTGACTTTGTTCACTATTGTTGTTGGTGTTTGTTTAACTTCCATGTGTGGATTTTCGATCATAAAGTGAAGCATGGTTGTTAGGTCCAGGTGTTGTGGCACAGGTTGATCATTGGCGTTTGGGGTAAGTCTTCGGTACGTGTACAGCTGGCCCAGGAGGACGCATCCTGCTGTGTAGTTGTAGTGTTGCATGGCACAATATACAAATTCATGACTCTGGTCAAGTTCAGTGTAGTCATGTTTATGACTGAGCTTACTGTTTCTCACGAAATCAATAAGTTTGCCAGCATAGGAGCCGGGGTCATTGTTGGTAGTCCATTCAGGACCCCAGCCATTTTGTGTTGGCTTGAGGTAGTCCAGGGAATGCCGGGCTAATGCATATAAGGCGTCATATCCTCGGCTCTTAAGCGAGTATTGCGCAATGAGTCCTCGAAGAAGTGTGTGGCTCTGTGGTATCATCTTAACCAGTCGACGATACAGATATGTGCTTATCTTGTGGATGTTTTCGTCAGATTCTTTATGTTGGGGAGGAACACAAGTTTCATGCAGTGGTAGGTCTTCCAGTTGTACGATTGGAAGGCTCTCAAGGCACATTGTATTTTGGATTTCATTATACAGATCGGCGAATTCAGCGGAGGTGAGGTATCGGTTAGTATCTGGTATGAGGTTGTGATCATTATCCTTGAATTCCAGAGTATGGATTGCTCTACTGATCCGGTGGTTTTGAGTATGGATGATGTCTTCATCCATGATATAGTGTTGTTTTTCGGTGTAAGCTGCAAATTTGCGGTCACTTTCCCCTGGTCCTTTAGGTGGTGGGCCCAGTGGCCATGAGTCGGTGTCCGTTGGTGGTGGTCCTTTGGCTGTGCTTGGTGGTGTCTTGGGGTTTCGTTGTTTTTGGTGTTGTTGCCTGTGGTCCTTATCGCCGCTGATGAGCTCTTTCAATGATGGTGACTCCCGGAGATACAAGTCAATTCTGTTATCGATGGCTGTGTGGAGGGTAGGGGATATTGTGATCGAGGCTGCGATCCTGTTGTCTATCATTTGTTCCACCGTTTTATCATTGTTAATGTGTTGGGTGACAGTGCGTTCAATATCCGACTCAGCCATTGTTTTAGTTACAATAATGCCTTCCTGTGCGTCTGTCATGGATTGATTGAGTTCTCTTGCGATATCTTTTTGATAGCTGGTAAGTGTTTGGACATGGTTCTTGCATATTTGATTGAGGTTGTTCTTGGTGGTGGCAATGTCCGTCTTCATCTGCTGCAGGGTGTCGGTAGCTTGGGATGTTATTTCCCGTTTTGCTTGTGCTACCACGCTGTCCTTTAGGCTTTGTACAATGCTGTTTTTGTGTTCGAGTTTGTTGTCAATGAGTGTTTGAACTGTTGTTTCCAAGATGCTCGTCTGGTTATCGATGGCCCGCATCATGTTATCTTCCATGTGTTTGCAGAATGTAACTAACTCATCCTTGCTTCTTTCGACAATGGTGTTTGCTTGGGTGGATATTTCAGTTATCTTGGTTGAAAGGAGAGGTGATTTGGTGGTTATACTGCTGACTTCGTCTCGGAGATGTTTGAACTGTATGGTCTTATTAAGGATGGATGTGAGGACTGTGGAAGCTTGGTGAGTTCTCTGTTCTAATGCCCAGGAGGTGTTGGCCGCAGCTGTGATTTCTCGTTGGAGATTGGTGTTGACTGTCATAGCTTTGGTTAGTGTGGCTTCCTGTGATTGTAACTGCTGCTTGAGAGCTTGTACTAATTGTTGAGCTCTTGATAATTCCTCTTTTGTGTTAGCCAGTTCATCCTTGGTATGCGTTAGCTCGTTGGATGTAAGCTCAATTGCATTGGAGTAGGAGGCTTGAATCGTGTCGATTCGAGCATCCATAGTCTTCAGTTGAATGAGGATGTCTTGTGGTGGGTGTTGTAGTGGCTTGTCCTTGCGTGTCACCGTGGTTGCTGGTTGGTGGGGAGATAGGCTGTCCTTAATGGATTGAAGTTCTTGATCGATCTTATTGTATGTTTGATCGTATGTGCTGAGCCGTTCGGACAGAGTTGATCTTGATGGGGAGTCTGTAGTGGAGTCTGTGTCCGTACTAGTGGGTTCCTTGGTTGCCGCTCTTCTTTGCTCAGCCGCAAATCGTTCCTGTAGGTTGGCAGGGGCGACTTCAATGGAACTGAGCGAGTCTGGGTTGCTAAGAGTGTCCTCTTTGTCTTCCATTCCTTGTGAGTTTGGTCAAATATCCCTAACAAGGTCCGTCTTTGCCAACAAACTGGATTGGCTTGTTGCCGTACTGTGTTCTTCAGTGCTGGAATCCCTAAGGTGTGTGGGAAGGCGTGACTGACGGCGTGTGGTAACTTCCTCAGGTGGTGTGTCAGTATCCGGTGAAATGAGTGTGTTCATGTGTTCAATAAGGGCTGTGCTGTATTGATATCGGGGTACTGATGTTGTGGGGGAAGTGTTGGGTGGTATTCAAAAGTGATTTCGATGGAGTAAGGTTGTTAGGGGCTCTCCTAACGCTGTGATCTTGTTGGTAGCATTCATCGTGTTAGAGTGGATGATGCTGATGTAGTTCGCGTAGTGTTGTGGAGGTGGTGGATTCTTGGGTTTAAAGGGGAAGAGTTTCGTAGTGTATATGTCCAGATTTGAGTCAATGGGGAACATTCTGGCAAGAACTCTAAGCTCCCTTTGGATGTTTCCATCGTAGTGTTGGAGAGTCAGGTGTTTTGGTTGATGTGGTTGTCGGGTCGATGATTTGACGATGAGGTATTTTTCAATCGGTGAGGATTTGGTTCCTCGTGATCTCTGGCCAGATCTACCCCTGCCCGTATGGCGGCGTGGTGTTTGCCTTGGTGATTTGTTGGGTGGTGGTGGCATCGTGTTAATGGTGCTGTCGACTGTGGTGTTGTGAGCTCAATATCTATGTGATTTAGTTGAGGGATGTTCACTTTCAGCCGTAGTGTTCTGTTTTGGTTGGTGTTCTGTTTTGGTGACACCAGTGTCATGTGGAGAATGTTGTATCGTAGGGTTCTACGTGATTTAATACTGGGTTCTCCACCGGTGGTGGTTTTTGGTGTTGAAAAACTCTGCCGGGGAAGGGCTCGGAACCGTGAAGCGTTCGATGGGGCTCCTTGTTCCGAGGAAGCAGTAAATCAGACTGCTGTCGTCCATTTGGTATCCAATTGGTCTGATGTGATGGTTGATGAGTTTGAGGTATGTCTCTTTGTTGCTCATAACCTGCGAATGTTAGTATGCTCCCATATTACGTGTTAATACGTGGTTTACAATAAAGGAGTGAGGTTATTCACTAGCTACTCGGGATTTAGCCTCACA